AGAAAATTCTGCTTAGGTTTTCTACATCAGTTTGCTTTTTAATTATTTAGCTCAAAATTGGTTTTTATACTCTTGTTACAAATTCATATCAGACAGAGGACAAAATGTTATGAATATTTTCTCCTATTCTGTGTTATCTTTTCACTTCTTTCTTTTCTTTTTTATTTGCAGTCAGGGTCTCACTATGTTGTCATGGCTGGTCAGGAACTAATTATATAGATCCACCTGACTCTATCTCCTGAGTGTTAGGAATTAAAGGTATGCACCATCGAACTCAGCTTCTTTCACCATCACGCCCAGTCTCTTTTCACTCTTTGTTACGAACCTATTTAATTCTGTTGAGGTTTAATGTACTATTTTTCCTTTCTTGCTTGCTTGTGCTTTTGATGTCATCTAATAATGTCTAGCACTTTAGTCTAACCCAAATACCAGGATCAACTGATGTATAAGTGTTAAGATTTATCTCTAGCTTCTAAATTCTTTTGTTGATACAATAATTTACTCTAATAGTAGTGCCAGACAGTTATGGTCACTTTAGCTTTACAATAAAATTTAAATTCAATGCATTCTACTTTACTCTTCCTTCTCAGACCACACTCACTATCCCAGATCTTGTTTAATATAAATACCTTGTCAGCATGTGAAAAGCCAAATGGCACAAAAAAATAGCTCGGCAGATAAGAGAACTTGCTGCCAAGCCTGACAACCTGCAGTCGAGTCTGAGTTTGATTCTCCAGGACCCACACGGTAGGAGGAGCAAAATGACTATCACCAAGTTGTCTTCTGACTCATACAAACACATCATGGCACCCTCCTCTCAACAAACAAACAAAAGTAATCCTAAGAGCACTGGCTGTTCTTCTAGAGGACTCCAGTTCAACTCCCAGCACCCACATGGCAGCTCACACCTGTGAACTCCAGCTCCAGGGATTCTGACATCCTCACACAGACATGCATGTAGGTAAAACACCAATGAACATAAAAAGAAATTATATAAAAAAGTGAAAAATGAAAAGAAGTCACCTCTAGTTTTGAGAAGGGTTGCAATAACAATGAAGATAAATTGGGAAGAGTATTATCTTAATAGAAATAATTCTTAGATGCTTTGAAAATGGAATATTTTCTATTTAGTCTTTTTAATATTCTTTCAGTGTGTCCCAGTTTTCAGGTTACAATGCTGTAACTTACAATATCAGTTCATCTTAGATGTTTTATCCTGTGAACGTAACTTATTGTTTCTTTTGCCCAATTTTGAAAATAATGTACATGCACACTGTATCTTGTCTATACACGCACACGCACATATGCGCACACACGATGATTTTGTTTTCTAATCTGGATATATTATTTTCTAGTGCAATTGCTCTGACTAATGCATCTAGCAAGATACTAAAAAGAAACAACAATACATAATAGACCTGTACACACGATATCTAGGAACTTCCTTATACTCCTAGACATCGTATGTACAGGTCTATATTTGAGAACATACAGCAGTAGTCCTTCCTTATCCCTCGTTTCAGTTAACTCTTAATCAGTCATGATCTAAAACTATAGATGTTTCAAGAAATAAATCATGTTTTTAAGTTGTACTTCCTTCTGAGTAGTGTAAAGAAACCTTACACTGCCCATTCTATCAAGATAAATAATCTTTCAGTTCAATGAATCCATGGTATATATATTCGCTTTTTTTAAGGCAAGGTTTCGCTCTATAACCTTGGCTGGCCTGGAACTCATTATGTAGAACAGGATGGCCTCACCTGGCCCTGCTTCCCAAGTACTAGGATTAAAGGCATGCCCTACTTCACCCAATTAGTTTCTTTCTTCTTTTTTTCTTTTCTCCTTCCTTCCTCCCCCCACCCCTTTCATTTTTGTTCGTTTGAGACAAGGTTTCTCTGTGTAGCCTTGCTGTTCAGGAATTCTCTAAAGACCAGGCTGGCATCAAACTCACAGATTCACCTGCCTCAGCTTCCTGTAGGCTGGGATTAAAGGTGTGCGCCACCACCACCAGGTTCTAGTTTCCTTTCTTGATCTTTAAGAAAAACTACAAATTAAAAGAGCACTCATATTTCCTCAGTACTTAAACACTGACAGTGGAAGCACTGTAGCGTAATGAATACACACTGGCTACAACAGTAGACTCTTAAAGTGAAATTTTGCATTTTTTAACTAGAATAATGAAACATATCTTGAAGTGGTCATCAAAAATCTATGAAAGTTTATATTTTATGAAATTGGGAGCACTATAAAGAATCAAAAAGGAACCCAAAGGCTTCAAAGAATTTATAATTTAATAAGGCAAATTAGTTATGACCAAATACAGACTACAAGAAAAGACTACTAATGCTTCTTTCGAAGGCACTAGCAGTCTTTTGAAGAGTACTAAAAGTCTGAACATTATTATAAAGTAAAGCTCATTTATTCATTCATTCAGCAATTAATCATTTTAACAAATTTTGTATTGGTTAACTGTGCTTAGTAGAATATCACACCAAAACAGGTATAGATCCCATCTTTGTGAAGAAAATAATAAGCTAAGTAATCACTTTTAGTTATTGGGAAGTTTTATTTTTTTAATCTTTTATTAATAGAAGAATTACTTTAGATTGTGTTTCTATTCAGTGGAACTTTGAAATATTGGGCAAGTAAGGCATCACCAATGAATAAAGTAATATTCAGGAGCAAGAAATCCATCTTTCGGGGGCTGGAGGGATGGCGGTTAAGAGCACTGGCTGCTCTTGCAGAGGTCCTGAGTTCAATTCCCAGCAACCACATGGTGGCTCACAACCATCTGTAATGAGATCTGGTGCCCTCTTCTGGCCTGCAGGCATACAAATAGGCAGAATACTGTATACATAATCAATCAATCAATCAATCTTTTTTTAAAAAAAATCCATGTTTCAAATTTCAAGTCCATAACACCATACACTGCAGGATATGGTGGGAAGGTGTGTTTGTGTCTGTGTGTGTTAGAAGTACTGACATTGAAGTATCATATGTAATGAGTTGAAGACATCAAAGTTTACTGGTATATTTGTGGATTCATAAAAAGACCAATGTAAATGAAACTTAGTACACAATCAAAACAAGCAAAATTAGGATTAGAGAGTGCAGGGCAGTGAGTGACTCCACAGATGAAAACAAGAGACTCAGGTCAGGGCATGTGAGAGGAAGAACAAACACACTCCTCTGTCTGAAGTGTGGAACACAGGTAAAACAAATTCTATTTGCACTCTACCTCATGGGTAAGATCCTTAGTACAATTTTTACTACATGGAAAGAGATATAATGGTCCCCTTTTAAGGATGGAAAGAAACAGACTAAGAAGAGATAAAACACCTTGCTAATAAAGTCACAGTGCTAATAAATTAAGTCTCAAATCAGAGACATTTTATAACTAAAGTGAAGCCAGTAAGCACCTTCCTGAATACACAAAGTATCTTTGTGTATTCAGAAGCAATAAAGTAAGGTTAAGACAACAAAGCATGGCAAATGTCACACTAATAAATACGGATTTTCCAAAAACCAAAAAAATAAGAAGTAACAGTTAAGATTATTCTTATCTCTATACTACATACAGAATACTTCTAAAAATAGAGTAATTTATAAAAAATAATTATCATATGATCTATTAAATATTTAAAACTGTGCATCCCAGAACAATAAGATTGTGTATGTGCAAACAGTAAGAGTTGGTTTACAATTTTGTAAACTAACTGTGATGATTGATTTTATTGTCAAACTGATGAAGCAGGCTCACACTGGAAGAGAAAAAGTCTTCAATTAAGTAATTGTCTGGATCAGAACAGCTTGTGGGATGTATGTGGAGCCCTGTCTTTATTTCTGATGGAAACAGGTGGGTACAAACCACCGTGGCAGTACCATGTCTAGGCAAGTTGTCCTGGGCTACATGAGATAACTAGTTAAACATGAGACAGCTAGCAAGCCAGCAATCACCATTCCTCTCCATGATGTCTACCATAAGGTCCTGCATAAGTTCCTGCCCCGACTTTCCTCAGTGAAAGACCATGACTTGGAAATGTAAACCGAACAAACTCCTCAACTCCCAAGTTGCTTTTGGTCAGAGTATTTTATCACAACAAACAAACAAACAAACAAACAAAAACACAAAAAAAACCCTAAGACATAGTTCAAGCAATTTAAATGTTTATATTAACGAGATTTAATGCATGCCCAATGGCAACCACTTGTAATAAAAGTCAAACTTTTCTTAGTAGTATTTTTTAAATTAAAAGCAACCATGTATCAACTTACTGAAAACAATTTCAAGAACACTGATCCCATACTTTGCAATATGGTACATGCCTGTGAAAAGATGCCAGTGGGAGGCTGAGGTGACGGTTCAGAGGGTAAGCATTGAGTTGAATATTCAAAACCACAGAACATATACCAAAAACTGGGAATGGTCACATGCATCTGTAACCCCAACTCTATGTAAAGGTAGAGACTAAAAGATCACATGTGGCTTGCTAGCTACCAGTACAACTCCAGGTTCAGTGATAAACCTGTTCCCAAGGGAAATAAAGCAGACAGTGATGGAGCAGGACACCTGCTATCTTCTCTGGCATCAGAACACAGACACAGGCATGTCTATCACACATGCACAAGCATACATACCCCCCATATCTTTATTTTTTCTGTGAATTCATAGAATTCAAAATGTAAAGATGTGATATAAATATACTAAAATATCTTTCTCCATCAGTAAAAAAATTAAATATATATCCAATCTCAAAAAATGTGTTACTATTCAGTACTTGGTTTTAACACTAGTAAATACATTTGACTTAGCTGACTTAAGAACCTCAAGAACCACTGAATTAAAAATAATGTAATTCTTTAAATCTACTAAACTTTAAAATAGCTTGACATTAGAGAACATTTTTATTTACCCAATACGTGAATGATCATCATCTAGTAATAAAATCTTCAAGTTGGAAAGAACATGAATTTAAAAAATGTGAAATACGCATACATACCTTTGTCCTTCTTAAAATCCAAAGCATCTTCCTTATCAGTCACTATTTCCTTCATATTGATGATACTCTGGTGGGTGAGTTGCCGAAGAATTTTAATTTCTCTAATTGCTGTAATTGGGAAGCCCTCCTTTTCATTATCCAGACGTACTTTTTTTAAGGCTACCATTTCTCCTATTAGACAGTTAAATAAAATCAGGTTACTGGCTAGCAAAAGATACTTTTCTCTATTGAAGTTAAATACTTTTCTTATAATTTCCATTCCTACATTTTAAAATTATAATTCATGAAAGTATTTTAGTTTCCAACATAACAAATAATTTGTTGCTAAAGAAATTAACCTCTCAAAAAATTATGAACTGTACATTGCATTAAACACTACACACCTGGTTAGGATGAGGAAGGTCTGTATTTATTGTTTTATACTCTCTACTGATACAGAAAAAAAAATGGTGAAGAGTGGGACTTTTACCATTCTTCTCTGTGTAAAAGAGGGAACAATCAATATATTCAGGATATTCATTCATTCATTCATATTAATATGCATTCATATTCTCATTATCTCTCTCACCTCTCTGAAAGGAAAATATACTCCAGCACTTATTGCCCAAACTCACCAATTACCTAATCATGAAATGGGGTTCAATTTGTCTCAAAAATACGTCTTCCCCCATTATACTATATTGCCACATAATTTAGGTGTGTGTGAATTTTGTATCAGACACCAAGTAATTAATCAGACACACATACACACAAACACAAAGTTATTATAAGTGTAGGTCAAGAAATGCTTTAAATTTTGGAGATTTAGAGTGTCTTGTTTTGTTTTATGGGAATGTACACAGACTTAGTAGGCTGGGCATCAATCAGCATAAGAAAATGTTCACTATAATAAAGACATATTCATTCTACTTCTTTGGATGGAAAAAAGGGACTAATGGTACATATTTTCTAAGGAGAAAAATGTCTGCTCTTAATCATTAAAATTTATTTTTCATTTTTATGACTTTTTCCTATAGTATGTTTTAATCATTAAAGCTTCTAAAGTTATAATTTCATCTTATTGATAATATTACAGATATCAATAGTTATTCTATGTTCTAACTACCTTCATTAGTTTCTAACCATAAGGTGTTCTCCCATATACTAAATGGCCTCAAATAGCTGTCAATTTTAATCTTAGTTCATGTTAAAAATGAACTTAAGTTTAAAAAAAAAGCTAATTCTGTTGGGGAGTGATGGTACACACCTTTAATTCAAACACCTTGGAGTAACAGGCAGACAGACCTCTATGGTCGAAACTAACCTGGGCTACACAGGGAAATCCTTCTCCCACCACAAGAAAAACAAAACAAAACAAAACAAAAAAACTAGCTTATGCAGCTCAATGCAGTATTTAGCAAAAGGTCAAACTTCTGTAAAGGAAGATGGCCAAAAGAAAAGCACTATATGATTCTTAATATAAAACAGGTTGCTCCTAAAAACAAACATGTTGGATCATGCCTACAACCCGAGTCTTTAAGAAGCTAAGGCAGGAGGGTCACAAGTAGAAGCAGTCTGGACTACATACTTAACACCTTGATTCAAAAGGAAAAAGAAAAACAAACTATTAATACTTTTGCCTAGGTACAAAGAGTTTAATAACTATTTACCACAAAAGGAACACATCGCTAAATCCCACTATAAGCAAAGCACAAATACCGAAGGAACGATTTTTACAGGTTTATTGTGGACCTGTATGTACTGATACTGGTTTAAGTAGACAGAAAATGCAAATGCAGAATAAAATTAGGACTAAACAGCAACACAAAGAATTTTTACTTCTTTGGAAAATTTTTAAACTATATATCAGAAGACAAACAAAAAGTAAGTATATTCCATCCCAAACTTAACATTCTTACCAGTGTCTTTGTCCCTGGCTTTGTAAACTTGTCCGTAAGTACCTTCTCCAATAATTCCGATGATATCAAATTTATCCACGCAGCGTTTTCCCCAGTCAATATCTTTTTCTTTGATTTCACCATAGCGAGGCCCACATATTCTATTAAATATAGTTCTGAAGTTTTTATAGACAATCAAGCAAACTGAATGAACTGTTTAATAATTCAAAACCAATCCCGCACAATCTTAAATCTGTTATTTCACCCTATTCTTGTGTATTTGTGAAAATTAATGTAAGAAAAACTACTAGTAGTTGATATTATAAATTTTCATAAAAAACTAGTAATTTCTACATACTGACTCGTCTGTAGATTAAAACTTAAAGGAAGAAAAAGAAGCAACAGTACTTCTTTAAAAGGCTTTTAGAAATGTACCTTTTCAATAAGTAGGTTAAAACCAATATTACTGGAGTCAAGATTTTCTCCTCTGTCCCCATAAAGTTTTGTTGTTCCAGCCAATGATTCTCTCTTCCCATAAATGTGTGTATACATGTGCATATAGAGAGAATGGAATGTATATGTGTATATACACACACAGACACACATAGTACAAGGTTAACAAACATTAACAAAATAAAATGACTAAAAATTACTTACAAACTGAGATACAGAGCAGGATAAAACCACCCTAAAAGCATTGAAAAATTTTCACCCAAACAAGTATAGAAAATTAATCATATAAAATCAAGATTCAAAATTCCATAGTTGGGCAGGGATTAATAGTTATGACAAAAGTCAAATTCTTTAAAAAGATGGTATTATGTAGTGTTTTAACTGTAGCAGAAATTAAGGAATTGAAGTAGAAGGATTCAATGATATACTAACACTTTTTTCCTCATATAGAAAATGACCTCATATTTTTAAAGTACATGTTACCTGAAGAACAATACTAAATCAAATCTACCCCAAAGTTTTAAACTTCCCTTTGTTTAGTAGATTTTTTTAAAAAGCACCATTGTTCTTATTCCTTAGTTTCAAGGAAAAGAACTCTATCAGGTATTTAACATGAAGCTACATCAGCTCCATTCTGAAAAATTCTGTGTTTTGGAAAATTGAGAATGTATGAAGTTACATGGAGAAATGAACAGTTAAAAGCAAAGGGAAACACTGTCCATTATTGACTTTGTTTACGCTCACTGAATGCTGCCTTCCACTTCACTCAGTTTCAGTATTTTCATATTCATTAGCTATCTTAACTACAGCTAATATATCTCTGACACATACAGCACCCCCAAATTAATAAATACAAACCGTAAGAAATTTTCATTTGGCTTTATTAGTCAAGGCAAATAGGTATACCACTTATAAAAATTTGTTTCAGAACTCTCAATCAATCTGTACAATAAATAAGTTAAAATAAAAATACACTTTTCATTTTAAATCTCAATGTTTTCTAAGTTTATAATGATCCAGGATATAATGTTTCCAGTCAAGTTAAGTGCAGGTAGAAAGCAAGCACATACTTAGGCCTTCTTTTGCTGTGTAACTGTGCTGCTGTTTTCTTCTCCTCCGGACTCTTAGAAAGATCATCTCCTCCTGGTAACTCGGGGGGGCAATGGTAAATCAGCAAGCAGACATCGGAGTTTCTTTTCTACTTCTTTTTTAACTGCCTTTACAGAAATATTGCCTCTTAAGCTAAAGAAAAGAAAAGAGGGGCCACATAAACCACAAATATTTGATTATATAATAACAACATGCATAGGTTGTATTTCGTAAGTCACACTTCACATCCAGCTAAAAAGAACACTGTTCTTCAACCACTAAGTTTGCTGTGAGATAATGTAAAGATTTGTCACTAGTATTAATTTAATAAAACTGATTGGCCAGTAGCCAGGCAGGAAATATAGGTAGGGCAACCAGACTTAAGAGAATTCTGGGAAGAGGAAAGGCACAGTCAGTTACCAGTCAGACAAAGAGATGAGAATGCCTTACTGAGAAAAGGTGCCAAGCCACGTGGCTAAACACAGACATTAACTTAAGTTTTGAGAGCTAGTTAATAATAAGCCTGAACTAATAATCCAGTTATAATTATTATATAATTATATTATAATGAATATAAGCCTCTGTGTGTTTCTTTAGGACTGAACGGCTGCAAAACTGGGCGGGACAGAAACTCTTGTCTACACTAAGTCGAAACTTAGAAAAGTTTGTAGGAAAAGAAATGACACAGAATTAAGTAAAAACCATGAAAATCTATAGAGTGTACACCTTAATTAATGGTAATATATTGATACTAATTAATTATAATAAATGCAAGGTAAACAGGGATTCTAGAATCTTTTTCTCTTTGCAAATCTAAGATTATTTTAATAAAATAAAGTGTAAGGAGCTAGGAAGATGGTTCCATGAATAATAGAGCTAGGCATGCAAGCACAAAAAGCTCAGTTCAAATCCCAAGAATTCACATAAAGCTGGACATAGACCACAAGTCTACAATTCTAGTGTTCCTAACATGAGAGGGGGAAAAAAAAAAAAGACAGAAGAATCCCTGAAAGCTCATGGGTCAGCTAGCCTGATATTCACATTGAAGTGGCCAAACAACAAAGGGAACTTGTCTAAAACAAGGTATAAGGATAAGGGCCAACACCCAAGGTTGTCCTGTGACCTGATATAAAGCCTATGGTATCCAAATAGCATACACAATTCACATATACAAATAAAATAACAAATTTTAAACTTCAAAAAAATACAGATCTAATTTCAAAACTGTGAACTAAAACAGAAAAAAAAATCAATCAGTTATACTTGCAAGAACCCTCATGAATCTTGTACTATTTGATTCTAGTAGGAAGAAATGATGCTTTCCTTTAAGTAAACAAAATTACAATCTGCAAATGACACACCACTATTCTTTTCCATTTACATAATCCAAACCAATTAATTCAACATCATTCTTTTCAGTGTTAATTTTTCTGAACCACATGATTTTCTATTTTTTAAAAAGATTTATTTATTTTATGCACAAACACTGTACATGTACATGTACACCTGCATGCCAGAAGAGGGCACCAGATCTCATTACAGATTGTTATGAGCCACCATGTGGTTGCTGGGAACTGAACTTAAGATCTCTGTAAGGCCAGTACTCTTAACCATTGAGTCATCTCTCCAGTGCATGATTTTTTAATTTTTAAAGACCTGTGGTGGTCTGGTTGATAATGGACCCCCACAGACATTTTGATCCCTATTGGTGAAACTGTTTGAAAAGAATCAGAAGATATGCATTGTTGGAGAGCAGGCTTTAAGGTTTTAAAGAGCCATTCATTACCTGTGCTCTCTCTCCACCTCTAATTTGTGGATCAAGATGTGAGTTCTCAGGCCAGCACTGTACAGCATGACTTTAATCCCAACACTTGGGAGACAGAGGCAAGAGAAGATCTGCAAGCTGTTCCTGCTATCATGCCTTTGCTCTGTCATCATGAACTCTGGCCTTTCATAATAAAATTATTATAACCTTGGTTAGTCCTATATTTTAAAAAATACACAAAGAGCTGCAATTTTCAAATTGTATCTGAATTGTAACTGATAATTTAAAATTTCCCAAATACTAAAAATCTGTTACCTAATCAAGACATGTTAAAAGGGAACCTTTTAATGATAATAAAATTTGGACCTTATATACTTTCACACAAGTTTTCAATCCAATAATGGAAAAGCTCATATTCTGCTGTGGCTCAAAATTAATAAACATTTCACTGAAAATAATTTAACTTTAGTTGATACCACTTCTACGCCTAGTGAATATTATTATTATCAGATACATAGGTCCTTTAGTACCACATACTGAAAACTACTTGTCAAACAAAGAGTAAAATAATCTTTGTTCTTCATAACTGTTACTCTCTAGAAGGTTCTTTAGCAGGTAAACATATTTTGAAAAGAAAGCAATTTGTAAGGAATTACAAAGCCCATTTCTCAATGTTACCATCCTGCTACTCAACAAATATTACAGGCTTTTATAGTTTTGTGTAAAATCCTGGAGACTTAATAAAAAGTAACAAATATTACACTACTGTTTCTTTCATATAGAATGTCAAATTTTTGGAAAATTGGTAAGCAGTAAAATAAAATATCAGACAAATGGATTCATAGTTTGACAAGGTGCTAAACGTTAGCTAAAACCCTATTTGAAACCTATTCTGTTTGTAACTATGCCTATTTAAAGTAACCTATTTAGAAATAGAAAGTCTCTAACTTGTATTAAAACTCTAGTAAAACTTCTCTTTTTTTTCTGAGTTACTTAAGTAAGTACATTTTGATGAGAGGGGTCTAAAAGTCTTAACTTCACTTTTTTTTGAACTTAAAGAACTATATTCAACTATATTATTATGTAAATCACCAGATATTATATTTCAGAATATTATAACAAAATATACTTTGCTGCTTTCAATAAATAAAATGTTTAAGTTTTCCATATTTTACAGTAACAAAAATAAATAAAATCCCTTAATAAAAAATATGTAACACCAACAAGGTTAAGAAATTTTTGACTGCTGAAAAAAATAAAGTGTGAACAAATGGAAATAAGAGCTGTTTTTGGCATGGAGATCTGTAACTGACTGTAATGTAGGGAAAAAAAGTTCCATTTGATTTAGAGGACTAGATGGAGTAGGAAGAATTTCCTTTTTATGTTAGCTTTATTAACAGCTATTAAGAGGAATGACCAAATTTTAAAAAGAAATCATCATTTGTAGTTCCTATTAGAGTAATGATTAGCAATCTTATCAGTGAGTGCTAAACAGTAGACGACCAGCTTCAGGGAAAACAGATCTTCAAATTGACTAATATATATCCTACAGAAATATATCCTAAAACAGACATTTGTACCTTCTACACAGAAGTTTTAAGGTTGGTTGGTCAATTAACCAAGTTATCACATCACAGTTTAACATTTTGTTCCTCATAAAGTAAGAAGTACATAAGATCATCTCCTAAATATTCTAGCCAAAACCAGTATTTGTTCTGAATTTATCCAAGATCCAAATGATTTCTAAGTTTATAGGAAATGGAAAGGTTAGAGAAAAGCAAGTTAGCCCTCATCAAGAAGTAATCAGACAAATTCAGAGGTAAGGCAGACCTTTCAAGGCATGGGGGTAAATAACACCTGTAATTATCTGAGGCCACATTAAAAGGACACGTGAATAAACTGAAAACTACGGCAACCACTTATTTTCAAACCAATGTGTATACACATACACTTTCCTTATACAGGGAAATTAAAAGCATAAAAGTAGATATTAAATACTAGCATTTGTTGACTCTAGTCATTCTCAACCTGTGAGCCCCATCCCCTTTGGAGGTAGAATGATCCTTTCACGGGGGCCACCAAAGATATTTACATTATGTTTCATAAAAGTAGCAAAATTATAGTTATGAAGTAGCAACAAAAATATTGTTATGGTTGGGGGTCACTACAACATAAAGGGTCGCAGCACTGGGAAGGTTGAGACCCACTCACTGCTCTAGAAGGTTGAATAAATACTAATTTTATTGTTTAACTTTATAAAATGCCCAAATACATAAAAGTAACAAGAGTACAGATTTACAAAATCACAGTCACAAAAAGCACAAACAATCTTTTGTAGATTTATTTAAGGATGTAAATGTGACAGTTAACTAGGAGTGGGCAGAAACATACTTAAAGAATGCAAAGTTGGAAAGTACTCCTTAAAACATGGCTACTGAGATTATATAGACCATTAGTGTTCTTTAAAATTATCTTTAAATAAAGTAAATAAAGACACCTTCCATATTCAGGTTTCCAGAAACATTATCAGAAAAGACGATCTCTCTACATCAACACGACAATTTCAACCTGTTTAACACAAAAACAAACAACCAAAACCCACACCAGGTTTCTAAAAAGAAACTTTGAAACATGAAACTACCATGCTCACTAAAATTGGTGAAAGGGGCCAGAGAGATGAGGAGTGGTTCCTCCCTTATAAAAGAGGAAGAGAAAGCCAACAATTCTTTGCTTACCGAAAACCTAAACACCAGTCCTTTTCAAACAAAGCATGAGGTCTGTTATACTTTGCAACTCTGTAGAATAGTAACTAGGCATTTTACTTTTGTAAAATAAAAACATCATTAACCTAACATTTAATGTTAACATTAACATTAAATGGGCTAACATTTCCCCCAGTCCTGATTTATACTAAAGCTAATAATCATAGTATCTGAGATGCACAGAACTTTAGCTTACAGTATTCTATCAGGTCATCTAATTCAAATAACTAATCTGTGATTTTTTTTGTGATAAATATTCTCATTGTTGGATATAACATGGAATAGAGCACAGAAAAACTGAAAACATAAGACTATCAACAGCTATGATCTTCTACATGTAGTCCACTAACAAAGTGCATTGTAAACAAATAAATAAGGCTATAAAAATATTTCCTGCCTGATCCAAGTAACTACTTCTAACCATTTTTCTTTTTCACATTTTAATAACTTAAAACTTCACTGAAAAGAATGTCTCCTTTTTTATACCTTTGTATTTAAGTCAGTCACTGAAAGAAATGACTACCTCAGTCATGTCTATAGTAGCAGTAATAGTAGAAAATTTCATATCCAAAAAAACATATAAATTCATTCAAGGAGGAGAAAAAAAAAAACACTGAAAGAGAAAAGGCACAAAACAGCGTAGATCGAGAAAGCTGGAGCTGAACACAGTAGTGCACACACCCTTAACCTAAGCACTCCGGAGTGAGGCAGAGACAGTTCCTGAGCTAAAAGGCTAGCCGGCTCTATACTGTAAATTCCAGGTCAGCCAAGGGCTAGCTACACAGTGCAAAGCCAGCTCATCTTCTCTACTCACCCATTCCCCAAAAACCAACAAAATAAAAAGGCTTTTATACTAACTTTGGGGAAGGATAATCCAGAGTTAAATCATATTTCTCAGTTTAAAGTTTCATTTTTTTTCTTTAAATAGTTACTGACAAATTTCAAATTTGCTTGCACTTACCTATCAGTATCTTTATCTTCAGGCAGCATGGGAGGCAAAGGTAACGGGGGTAATGTAGAGGTCACTAAAGCCACATGTTGCTCCTTCTCCTTAGCGCCTACACTTGGTGTGAGTGGCTTAGTTTTCTCTTTAGTAGTAGATACTGGTTCTTCCTTTGTAGCAGCAGCTTTACTTTCCTTCCCAACAACTGTTTTCTTGGAGGCTTTATCTACAATCAAGTTATTGTCTACCTTTGTTACTTGAAGGGGTGGCTTTGTCTTTACTTTGTCACTTTTGGCGGTCCCAGCACTTGAGGGCGAAGGTGCATGTTCAGTTTTCAGTTTCTTCACATCCTTCACGTGGTTTGTCTGTGAGGCACTGGCACCAGTTTCTGTGCTCCCCTTAGTAGGGGTAGATGCATTTGAGGCTTTCGCAGCTTTGGCAGCTGCCTCAGCAGCCTTAGCTGCCTCTGCAGCCTTAGCTGCCTCTGCAGCTCTTGCTGCCTCTGCAGCTCGTGCCTTTTTATTCTTGTTCAATTCAGCTGCCAGGCTACTCTTGAGAGTTAGTGTACTAGGAGAAATGCTTGAGTGACGACTTCTGGATCTAGACAATCTGTGCCTGCTACGAGATCTTGAGTGCCTAGATGAATATGGGCTTCTGCTTCGAGATTTGGCAGACCGTCTGGTGAAAAATAATTAATATTTAGTCAGTAATCAAATTAAATTTTATAGAGTGCTAGTTTGAATCTCTGAAATGAAACAAATTTACTTAATTTCAAAATAATACAGCATCTCTGAAAGGTTTTGTTGTTATTTCCAAGTAAAATACCAGATGGTAATTTTCTTTAAAATATTCTTCTTTTTCTCTGACCTATGAATGCTCAAAGATAAGGCTGAATTTAAAACAAAACAAACAAAACAATAAAAAAAAACTTCATAAGAAAAGTAACAATTAGGGCAGCAACAGGCCATCACTGCTAAGTCAGAGAGGAGGAATAGGCAGCAAGAATCAAACAAAGACAGCAGCAGACAGTCTTCAACCCTCCTCAGTCACAGTTTCTGGTACAAATAAATTGTGTCTCTTTACCACCATGAGTCCTATTTTTGATACTTCAGAATTCCCTGTTACTCCTCTTCCAAGTTCCCCTCCCAAATTCTTTCAAAACATATGTAGAAATAAGACCTAGTTTGTTTCAGCATTAAGCTACACTGCATACAAGCTTCATGCCTTACATAAAAATATATGCAATTACTTCAGAATAAAAACATAAGCTTTTAAAATATTCTAAATCATTAAGCAGCTGTACATACCAACTATCTAAATAAAGATAAGCTTTCACTGAAATAAGTGAAAACACTTAACTAAATCAAAGAAAGATTGTAAAATGACCTGCATAATTTTATATAGGAAGCAAGTGCTATATTAGGAAACTTGGCTACATTTTGATTGTTTCTTCTCTCTTCAGATGGTTGAGCTCCAAACAAAACATATGTAAGTCATATGTATATCCCCCAATCAGATACATACCAATCAACAGCAAGAGAAAGAAAGTAAAGAGATGGCATCTCCTCACAGGTAATAGCAGAGACTTTCATAAAGCAATTTTCCTACAATGTATTTCCTAGGACCATGACTCAGGTTGCCTATTTAATACAGACACAGAAATTGTATGTAATACATTCTCAGACTCTGCTAAGTTGCTAGTAAACTCCAACGATACATTTACTATTTACAGCTAACAGTCTGATAACCTAAAATTTAATATAAAAAACAAAACTCAAGTGTAGATGATTTTAACTAATAGTTTTGCCAACATTGCCAAAAACCTTACCATTTTACTAATGTTTCAGGTATAGCTATGAGGGTGAGAAAGAAATGTGTCTTTAAACCTATAACAAGTTACACTATAACAATCTTACTAAAATTCTTTCTTATGAATAAAATTTCTTTTTAATTTTTTTTCTTGTACAAGACAACTTGTCACCAAATCTGAATACCAAGAGTTCTAGCCCCAAGGACCCATAAGGTAGGAAAGAACCAATTTCTCCAATCTATCTTGACCTCAATGTACACAAGCATGCATGCATGTACACATGTGCACACAAACACATAACTAAGTAAGTAAACATAATTAAAATGGGTTTTTATGATAGGTCTACCTATTGAATTTACAGTGAACACGTTAACTATTCACTGCTTGTTTGTTTTCTGCTTTGTGGTTTTTTGTGACAGGGTTCCTCTGTGTAGCCTTGGCTGTCCTGGCACTCATCTATAGACCAGGCTGGCTTCAAATCACAGAGATCCACCTGTCTCTGCCGAATGCTGGGATTAAAGACATGTGCTACAACTGCCCGGCTCATTGCTGGTTTTAAGTAAGTTAAAGATCTCTTTAGGAGCTGAAAAGATGGCATGTGGTGGTGGAAATTAAGAGCAGGTAGTGTTCTCAAAGGTTCAGCACCAAGGCCAGGCACCTGGCTCCAGGAGATATCCAAAGCCCCCTTCTGATCTCAACGGACACTGTACCCATTTGCACATATCCCCCCCCCCGACACACACACACAATATTTACAAAAATTTTATGAAATTTTTTAAAAAACTAAGAGATTATCTTATGCTTTTAAGAACTTTTCCAAATTTACTTAGATTTATACAATTTAAGTAAAACCAGAATTGCAACTCAAACAGGCTAGAGCTCACTATTAATTAACTTTAAGTGTCCCTTAAAGCAGTGGTTCTCAATGTGGTTCTCTTCCTCATGTTGCAACCCTTTAATGCAGTTCCTCATGTTGTGATGACCTCCAACCATAAAAATATTTTGTTGCTACTGTTATGAATTGTAATGTAAATATTTTTGGAGCAGAAGTTTGGCAAAGGGGCTGAGACCCACGGGTTAAGAATCACTACCTTAAAGGGAGAGAGCATGGTGTCCTGGTCATTCCAACTATATCACAGATACTCTGCAAGAATCCAGTTCTGAGCAATGTACTTGGTGAACTCTCACAAATTCAGGCAGCTTTGTCCCCCTTGCCATCATAGCTACTGTGACATACCCTCTTTCACACAGCTCTCAAGCTCCAACTGCACTGTATTCTTGTCATTTCAGGGTTTGCTCTTAGTACTGACTTAGCATTCTTTGTGAGCTCCCTTAATCTGCATCACCTTTGTGGTCTCTTTTTAAAGTCTCCTAAATCATCCAAGTTAGATTTCATTCTTTCTGAAACTTTCACTAGTCTAGAGGTATGCCAAGTCTTAAAACCAAAATAATCAATTTTTAGCTACCTAAATTATTTTTGTTGAAAAATTATCCAATCCACCATTGAGCATCATTTGCCAATGCAACTTCCTGGGGTGAAAGAAAACACAGAAGCGCATGTAATCAATATCCAACACAATAGCCATTACCCTCAACACTTCTTAGTCCATTTTTTTTTGCCTTATTTATCTTACATCCTCATGGAATTCTCACAGTAACATTTACTTTAAAAGCTTGTTTAAAATCCTCAAAAGATGTACGAAAATGATTATCAAACTGAAAATTACCATGCTAAGTATTACTTTTTTTCAAAATGTGTCTTTTTCACATCCATATTTGTGACTAGTGCTGCACTAGTCACAATAGTTAGGAAATAGAATCAACTTAAGATGTCTATCAACATATGAATGAGTTAAAAAAAAACCAGCATGGTGCATATACACAATGGAACTTTATTGAGCCATAAACTAATGTGGAATTTCCCTCTGTGTGCTGTGATTACCATTAATGAATAAAGAAACTGTTTTGGACCTATAGCAGGGCAGAACTTAAGCTGGGGGGGGCTAAGCTGAATGCTGGGAGAAAGGAGGGCAGAGTCAGAAAGAAGCCATGGAACCATCACTGCAGACAGTGCTGAAACTTGGCTGGGAAGCCACAAACTAGTGGTGGTGCACAGATTACTAGAAATGGGCTAAATTAAGATGTAAGAGTTAGCCAGTAAGAAGTTAGAGCTAATGAGCCAAGCAATGCTTTAATTAATACAGTTTCTGTGTGATTATTTTGGGTCTAAGATAGTCGAATGGACAGGAACCAACAAGCAGCCCTCCTCCAACAATTAACAAAAATGAAATCATGGCATTTGCAGAATAATAAAAGTGAAAATCGTTATGTTAAGCAGATTAGCAAAATTCACTAAAAAAAACGCATTTTCGTCTTAAGTGTACTACTGAGATTTTAAATTACTTATGCACATTTTTAAAAGGTCTCTTTCAAGCATTTCTTAGTTAAAACTTTAAACGGCTGGCCAGGAGACACACCTTTAATCCCAGCTCTCATGAGGCAGAAGTAGGCAAAAATCTTTGCATGTCTGAGGTCAAACTGGTCTACATAGTGAGTTCTAGATTAGGCAGGGCTACATAATAAGATACTGTCTCAAAAAAATATTCAAAGAACAACAAACGATGTTCCTATGTACTTTATTATGCACTGTTGTATGCACTTTACTAATTATTTACAACAGAATGGTGGGAGTTTCTTAAATGTACCTCATTTAAAATCTACCTTATCTAATCTATTAGACTCCTGAATACATCAGATCCAGCACTGTCTAAAATTAAGATTTAGGAAATACATACATCATTCTCTTAATATTTGATCCTCTTAATATTCTGTTTTTAATTTGACTATTCTCTATTTGTTTAACCATGCTACAAATTTCATTTCCTGGTAAACACATGCTATCTCAGCAGCCACCTTATCTTACTTATTCTAACTCTACATTGCCTTATATCCATACCCTCTGAATATTTCCTACTGTTGTTGTTAACAAACTACATCAAACACGGTGACTTAAGGCAACATAAATTACCTCACAGTTCTAGAGACAGAAACCCAGTTAGCTTTGAAAACTTAACCCACCTATCTCTGCTCAAAGCTCTTGAGATAATATGTTCTCTTACCTTTCCCAGTTTCACTTAACTCAAGGCATCCATCATCAGGCTTCTGCTTCCATCACTTCCTTCCTCTATGTATTAGCATATGGCATTTCTGTCTCATCCCACAGTCACCTTTCTATAAACCTCCTTGCCATCAAACAGGAACTATCTAGGTAGTACTTTTTAATCGTATTTTGCCACAACATAACTTTATATACACAATGGAGAGAGTATAACATGGATATCTTAGAGGGCCATTACATAGTCTATGATACTCCTCTTTTTCCTCAAAATCACTTTTCTCTTTCATCCTACCACTTTCTCTCTTAATCTACCCTGTTCAATTGATATACTCTCTGTAAACAGCATAACCAAACCAATCTTCCTTGCTGCTCAATGATTTTTTTACATGTCCCAAATCCTTAACTTTCCTTTTCTTCTACAAACCTTTATAACATTCTTAAAGCTCACCAACCCAGTTCCAAAATTTATCAGGCATATCTTCTCTCACACAAACTACATTACCTTCCACCTCACTGCTATCTAAAATTAACCCCTCTGTGATGAACTATGCACTGGAACCTTATTTTACAGAGTGTTGACCCCAAATGGCACAACCTGTAAGCTTGTCAAAAATGCTGTTTCTCATCTCCTTTCCCGTACCTATGGTCTTAAACACACAAAAATATTAAAAAAAAATAGCAGACAGGTGAATCAAAAGATTAAGTGCTGGTATCTTGCTATTTTGTCTTTCCTGCAAGTCAAACTCCTGT